AGTGAGATGACATTTGGCTTATTACCGCGCCTACAAACTGTCTATATGCCTGAACAGCGTACAGACTAGCCTTGGTTATTTTAGCCGGTTCATCCGAACATTCCTCATTTAACTAAGGACAGGACTTCTTCCCCCCCACCTCCTAAATGAATGGAAAATGCTAGTGTTTTTTTTCTTCAGAATCCTAGAGTCGCCATTTCGTTGATCAAATACATTTCTAGCAGCAAGTGGCTCCGTTTCCGAAGGAAAAGCTCAAGAGAAAGAAACTTGGATTTCCACCAAAGTTTTGCATTTGAAATGACCTTCAAACCCCACAACAAATAATCCTGGATATATTAAGAAGACCGTATTAGCGAAATGGCAGCATTGAGATTTGAATGGGGTGGTTTTTATTGATTTGATCCCAATTGCTAGGATGAATCCCATTTATCTCATCCCAGCATTATAAAAATCATGAAATTTATTAGCACCACGCCAACCTCTGCCTTTCTAGCAGATTATCCCCATGAACTATTGATACATTTAGAATCTAAAGGAACTTAAGGAGAAATAGGTCACGTCGGGGTCGGAGTGCGCATTCTCCAAGTATCATAGAACCTGTGTTTCCACATTAAGGTGTCAAAATGAGAAAAGCTGCCTGCTCTGTTTCAGAGTGGTGGAGGTAAGAGCTTCACAACCGATAAGATTGTAAACAATGTATATCTGTTCCTTCTATCAAGTCTGACCGAAGAGGAAAAGATGGACTTCATGCAAGATAAAGATGAATTTATCCGCAGCTGCACCTATGAAGGCGTCGATTGTCAAAGGTGGTATCAATGATCGTTTCGTGGTTCCCTTAGAAAAGTTTGATTGAATCAAGGTCAAATCCTCTTCCTTTCGCAGCTTATTTTTCCCGTACGTGAACACGACGTATGGGAGTTGCTACGTCTTCAACCTGAAATTGAACATGGACAATGATACAGAGGCCGGATCCAGGAAAACAGTCTTCCCTGGTCCGGATAATGGTGCGTTCCTTAGTACTCAAGCATTAGCTTCCTTCGTAAGTTATAAAAAAAAAATATATATATATATATATATTTTTTTTTTTCTCTAGGATGAGATCCTTCCCTGTCCATTCTCTTTTTAACTTCCTTAAGCCTTGCCCCATATCTGCAGGCTGTTTTGCCTTAGATTATTTGTTATATGTCCTCTTCTTCTGGGCTACGAGCCGGTCATAGCCTGCCTGTTGCCTTGGGTGGCTATTGCTAGGGAAGGCGTCACTGTTTTACTTGAATTCAATATATATATGTATATACAGTATATTGCTAGTCAAAAACTCTGCAGCGAAAATTGTATGCCAAAAGTTGCACGTTATGTGAACTATAACCATGTGAACTATATAATATAACTATATGTGAACTATAAATCAACCAAGAGGAGAATTTATCGGGTATGACCAGGGCAGGAGAAACTTTGGCCAATACGGTGAAGGTTAGTCTTAGATCTCTTTGGGGATTTGTCATTACCTTCCTTGCAACAACATATATGGGTATGGCAAAAATTAAAAACGCACACCAATGATTTTTAACCAAAGTATATCTACTTACACTGCAGCTATTTTCCCGGAAAATTCAAAACGCATACAACAGGAATGTGTTTCTTTCTGATACTTAAATAGTCATCCCACTTTGTTGATGCAAAGAAATACTATTATCAATTATTGATAAGATGTCAGACATGAGAATAGAATGAAGCTACTACTTGTAGTGGAGTGAGGAAACACTCGGGCGTTTTCCTTCCTATTCATGGGTTGGCTATGAGATAGCATGCCTAGACGAAACGTGGCGATCCCGTTTCTTCTTTGCACTATTTCGTCGCGGACACGGATAGTCGCACGTACGCGGCAAGGCGGTAAAAGGTGAAGAAATTTACCAGAAAGGATGGAGTTTCAAATTCCTATTAGTTGGGGAGGGAATATGTCTCTGGGGTTTTCAGCGTTATTTTTTTAGTTGCAGCGCTCAAATTTAAATTTGCATTTTCATGACCATGACACTCGATTGGGTCAAATTATCTTCAGCAGTGCTTCTCAATCTTCTTTTTTTTTTTACCTGCGGACCAACTTTGAAACAGAGGGTACCTGCCAGGACCCCCATCACTGTCGCGTAAAATAATTAGCTTATAAAATTAGTGCTACTGATTTGGAATAAAGTATTGAAAATATTTCCTTTACACTCCATTCCAATTGTTGATGTTACGTTTACTTTGTCTTTCATATTTGGCTAAGGCATGACTTCCCGGACCACTTGAAGTCTACGATCACACAAACACTGACTTAAATACGTGCAATACAGGGATGGAAAATGCACAAGGAAGATTACATTTCAACTGTAGAGAGACAAAAGGACTATGAGATAGCATACCCAAGTGAGCTATCGAGGAGTGACGGTAGTGGGGTGCGGCACGCATAAAAGAGCAACTCCCAATGTTGATTCATGACCTACTTACTAATTCACTTGGTGCCAATGGCAACATGTGCATTTCGCATCTCTCATCTAGAGAGTCCGCTGGGACTTTGCTTGGGTTCCAGTTCGCTCATCCGTAATTACCAAGGTGCATACACATGAAATTATTTTCTAATAAAATACATGTTATATGTTGCGAAGTGTTATATCACTCCAGGAGGGGCTACCCGGATGGGGAAAAGGGAAAAAATCGGAATGAAATTCGCATCTAAAAGCCAGGATCACTGTTCTCCTCGACCCCAGCTTCAAATTTCCTTAAGCGATTATATGTTGTGAGGGAAAGAAGCATGCCCGATATCGCTCCTCATTATGCGATTTGGAGAAGTACAAAGGAATAGGAAGAGGTTGAATCTTGGGACGGGAAGGGGTTGAAGAAAGGGAACAGGCCCCAAAGCATATAGCAATACAGAGCGCAGTTTTATATGGCCCCGCGCCCAGCCTGAAGCACGTATGCTTTCTTGCTGTAGATGTATTTGCAGAGGGAGGGGACCGCATTACATCGGAGTAGAAGTCTGAGTTGAATTATGCATACCGATCGACAGGACTGGAGCTGGAGTTGTACGTGAACGCAAGCGAGTGGTCATCGAGCGTGCTTTCATCGCAGGGCGGCGTCCGGGTTGTCATCCATCAACCCGACAGCCTCCCTTCCCCCGAGGAATCCGGATTCGATGCACGGACTGGCACCGCAACCAATGTTGCCCTCAGACAGGTCAAAGTCCATGCTCATTATATCTCAGTCAGAGACGATTCGGTTATGTAAATAACTTGCTGACCCGTGGAAGACTTCCACGTACTCTTCGGCAAAGAAAGAGTTTATTCGGCGGCCCTAAAATTCAGTGGCCCTCTCATCGCCTAAGGCAGCAGCCCCCCTTTCCCATTCTTTACGCGTCCCCACGGGCAACCTTTGGATTCCCCTTTCATCCCGTTGAAGGGATGACAACTTCCTTGTTGGTGTGAGATCTTCGCTCTTACATTTATCGGCACTTTTCCCTCTCGATCGCAACCCTGTCCGCTTCGTCCGTGAAGACCATCTCCATAACTTTGCGTGTAAGCCTATGAGTGATATATACGGATTTGGATAAGGGATGGTAACGACTCTACCGGGATACTTGCGATCCAAGAATAAGCCATCGAAGAGTGGCATCCCTTAATTTAAGGGGGGGGGTGCGTAAGTCGTACAATGACTCTCTCTCCTATTCTCAAGAACAGATCCGACTGTTGCGAAGGCCGGAGAGAAAATGCGAGCGTCAGACGGGCACCCGAATCTGTGGATGTCTTCCACGAACTGTTTCTAGGGAATTCCCAAGCTCCGTTTGCAGCCCTAAAACTCAGCGGCCCTCTCAACGATTTAAAGCAGCACCATCCCCATCCTGTTCTCGAGAATGACCTGTGGAAGACCTCCACGAACTTCGGATGGATCTGGGCCATGGGTGTCAAACTGCCGGTCAATTATTTGATTCCGTCCGGCCTGCAATGTCCTCTTCAACGGTTGGATTTTAAAAAGAGTAGACTATTTCAACCTGTGGGCAATTTCAACGTAGGTGCAAGACGTGCGAATTTGGGTCCAACCACTCCTGAAGGGTTCCATCCGGCCGCCAGCATAAACAAGTCTGGCATTTCTGGCCTAGACTAAGCGTGTAACATAGTCAGGGTCGCCAAAATGAATTAAGAGGGCTGAGGCAATATCACGTAAGGCCCCCCTTTCTACTCTTCTCCCCTCCCTGCCGCTTCAAGCACACTCACTGTGTTTGAACCTCTTCATTGCAAACGAACGCTACGATAATAATAAAACAATAGTACATACACTCTTCGAACATTACTATCGCGTGGGAAGTAAAAAGTGAGCGCCGCACGTGCTTTTCGAATTTACTCTCTTATTACTCACCAAATGCTGATCTTCAGTTGATGTCATGGGCTCCTCGCTCCCCTGACCTTAACCCCCTGCGACTTCTTTGTTTGGGGTTTCGTAAAGGATTCAGTGTTCGTGCCACCAGTACCAGTTGATCTGCCACACCTGCGGGTTCGCATCACCAATGCGTTTGCTTGCATTGACAGAGCCATGCTGCATCGAGTATGGGAAGAACTCGATTATAGAGTTGATGTGTGCAGTCACTAAAGGTGCACATATTGAGCATCTGTAAACACTAAAAAAAATTTCACTATTTGTTTATATATCTGTGCAATCTTGTAAGCATATGTCAAATAATAAACCTGTAGTGATTTTCTGAAACCGCTGCAATCATTTTGACTAGCCCTGTATAATACTGATTCATCGGTGAAGCAAGTTTCGAGTGACGAAGCATTACTGAAAAAGAGGGGTTTCTTTTAAATTGATGACCATGACCAAAATGAATAGATATGAAAAAGGTCGAAACTCGTACAACCTGAAGTCTCCTCAAAGCTGAATAAACAGTGAAACCGTGAAATGAGTGCCCTCATCAACCTGCCGAAAGGGGATTAAAAAACTTTAAAGTTTCAGAATAACGCAGGAATGCTTTATCGCCTTCAAGAATCCACGAAACCAGGATTGAAGAACAAAGCCTTCGTTTTCCCTCTGACCCACAGCTCAGCGCTCTGCTTCTCTCCGTTTGGTCCCTCGTGCATGGCCAGTCGGTCGTGGACCTTCGTGGACACAAATAATACCAATCCTTAATATTGTTTTTCGTGTTCCAATAGGATGAACTGAGAGGAAGCTCACCTTTCTTATCAAAACTTGCAAATCCATGCTGTGAGCAGATTCCGCAAAAACGTGACAAATGGACTGGATGAACCATGTTCCCTCTTGCGAGTTCCTGTAGCTCACATAGTCTGTGATGAATCGGAAGAACAAAATTATACACATTTCAGATCATCTCAATTGAAGCCAGCCTTTAAGAAATAGCTATCCCTCAACAAATCCTACGTACTTGGAAGCTCAAGTCTAGCTATGAGAAAGAGACAATGCTTACAGGGAATGGTGGAATTGGCCACGAATATATCATCAGCGTTTAATTCATCTTGGGACGCCCCTCCAAACCGATTTGCATCAGACTCGACAAAATTGCCACTTTGCCCCCGTGCTTGTTGTCCTTTTCCCCTTCGGAAATTCCATGACAATGTCACAATAATATATTTTCCGCAGCTCGATGCAAGGATTGATTCGGAGTATCGGGACCGGTACCGGCAAGCTTGAATGATGAAGAGCTTCGGTTTCCCTTTCAAGGCCTCGGCAATGTTGAACTGTTGAATGATCCATTCGACCTCAAGCGCCCTCCCATCGGAGGAGTAGACGACATAAGGACAGGGCCGATGGGTGGATCCAGGCTGTTGTCCCAAGGGTCTCCATGAACCTTCAGGATCTTCACCAGGGCTCTGATATCCGTGGCTCATGATGACGACGACGCAACAGTCGCTCTGGCGGTGTTCCGGCGCCCGGGCAAATTCCTTCAGCTTTAGCTTCATCTCCTGCCAGAAAATCCTGAGAGCATGACATTCCGTATCGAAACCTTTTTGGTGCTTGCGTTTTTTTTATAGGATTGGCGATCCACATTTTCATGTAAACTGAGAAATGTGGAAATATAAATATGTAAAATGTAAACAGTGGAAATATTTCAAACGACGATGCCATGAGGGTATACCAGCCACACGAATCGCTAACTTTTTGTTGCAGAAATCTTGAAGTCTTAAGTCGAATGAAGGAAACATTTACATGCAATCATAGCTTAAAATGTCGTTACTGTAATATGCACTAAATTCAAGCAGCTGCGGATAACATTGCAAAATGCGGAGAAAAAAAATGTTTTATTCATCATTCAAAAGCGCAATGAAGATAGCAGTTTCTTCGCCAAAGTCTAGTGAATTACATTATAACCTTTACGGCTCCGTTACACACCTTTGAATGAAGGACTAGGAAACGTTTCTTCAATTTGTGCAAGGTCACCCACGTTTGTGAGAAATCAACTCATTCCAGGGCATCCACAGCGGCTTACCTGACGTGTGAGGTCTTTCTCAACGTCGACAGAGAAGTGCAGTTTCTCGAATAGATCCCGAATCTTGACCGCGTCGATGTCTGTGCCTGGCCTATTATTCATTAAACCGCCGAAGTCATAATTGCTGATGACGAGCGCCTTGCCACGAGGATTAGCAGACATCTTGTACGCATCCTGAAAAAAATGAAAAAAGAAGGAATTTCATCATGAAAGCACAATAAGGTATTGATTGACTTATCAGACTTATTCCCGTTGCCCCCCACGTGTGCGGGAGCAACGGACCTTTCCTCTAGTAGTTCACGGGGCCTCGTGAAACGTTTTCTTTTCGCTTTACAAATTCTTTTTTGGATCATTTGCCTTCTCGAGTTGGGATTATTCCGCCCTTGTTCGTGAATGCTTTTCATTTGGTGATTTGTTGCACTGTTGCATGTCATCATAGATATTAATTGAGATAATGATCCAATAATGGGATTCACCGTCACAGTACCATGACATGAAAATCATCAAGTGCAGATTGCACTCACGTCGATTATGTTGGTAACTGGAAGAAACTATATTTTCGACAGTCCTTAATGTATGGGGACGCACTTTAACCAATTGACAATGTTATTGAGAGAATTCGATGCATTCTTATAACTGCAAGATCCAAGTATTTTAAACGCGCATTTAGAAAGGAATTTGACCCGCTCACCGGAGGTCCACGAGGATTGCTGGTTCTTCCAACATATATTGGAGTTGAGAGGATAACGGATCGTCCCTGTGCATTTCCAGCGGCCCGACCTCGGGCATCTTCCTCCTCCCTGGGTCTCCCAGCGGCTGTTTCAGCGCTTCAAGATCAACGATAATCATGCCATCACTCATTTCACGTTTTTTCATGCCGATTTTTTAAATCAGACTTCTCGATCTACAGTAAGTCAGATCATTACTGTACCTGCAGGAGCCCGGCTGCCTTTGACACGGCTGAGAAGACGAGACCACTCCTTGGAATGCTGCGTAAAGACAAGAGATGGGAATTTCTATCGCACAGGCGTTGAGAAAAGTAACCTGGAAACTCAGGGTCAATAAATCACGAAATCTAGATCGGGCTTTGTTTCACGTCCAGTTTCATTTCGCGCGATAAGCTCCATTCAGATTTTTATGTTTATTTCCTGTGTAGTGGATACACACCCTTTCCACGAAGTGCATGACATCTGTCTAGCTGCTCTATTTTAACTCGTTCACATCCAGGAATTTTTCACCCCATCTGTTCTAGAAATCTACTGCCCTAGCCCGATGAGCGAGGCCTACAAGCTTGTGTCTATCTCGACCATGGGCTGGGGGGAGAAATGCCTGTGGATGCAAATGAGTTAAGAAGCATGTTGGTCTTTATGAGACGACACCTCTTATTTACTACAGTGAAAGAGCATCTGGATGTGAGGAGACTCAGAATCGATTTTCATAACTGTAGTTAGGTTAACCTCAACCAGATCAGGGCCTCCTTTTTAAACTCAGGATTAACCTGAGCCAAGAGTTATGAGAAGGAGCTGCTTCCATCCTTGACAATTTTGAGGAATTGTATTCTACAGCACCTTAAGTTACATTATCGTTGTTTCTACACCTCAGGAAAATGATATATAATATTATGAATTTCAGTATTTACCAACAAGAAAGATGAATAGAACTCGGAAATTCCCTCCTGTAAAGTTCCATACGGCTTGGAATCATCAGAGACGTCCAGATATCAGTATGTAACCAACATTCGAACTTGAGATGTTGCCATCATCTTCGTAATATGATGCCAGTCTTGAAAAATGACGTCTCTCAAGCCACTTTAGTCGAGCGGGCTTCCTTTATAATTTCCGATATATTTGAAAATCAGAAAAGGACAATTTCCTGCAATATTTATTCTGGATGCAAGTTGCAGGAAGAGGGTAGAACCCAAAGTTTCGTCACGATTTCAACACTGTATTTTAAAAAAGTAATGGACACTGCTCTGGGTATTTGAGGCGCATTCTGGCTGTTGAAGAATGAAATCGTTGCGGTGAGGCCGAATAGTGGTGTAGCGTAGTCGGTGGGGAGGAAGTAGGGGAAAGAGAGTTTGGGAAAGGAATCCATGTTGTACTCGCCTCACTCTTCTTTGCTCATGAGGCTTCAGGCCAGCCTCCCCCTTTCTCTACGTATAGTGGCATTTGTCATGTTCGTTGTGCAGGAGCTCCTTGACAGGAGTCAAGATGGCTCATTCGCTCTTTAGACACATTTCTTGATCTCCTTCTATTGGCAAAACATGTTCCTTTACAGAGATTTTCTCTGTCTTGGAGATGGATGAACACGTCCTTAATATCATGCGTATTACTTTGCAGCATAAACTGCAAAACCTAAAGTATTTCTGGTAGCGGTCAAACGATAATTTGATTGCACTATATATATATTGAATCTATGAGAAGACTTTCTTGGAGGCAATCACTGAAAATGACCAATTCTGACATGTATACGATATTGCTCTTATAGATAGCACAAGGGTGTGCACGGGAAGAGAAAGTGAACTGCTACTTTTACCGTCGCTGTTTGATTTTTTTCCTCACGAATTTTTTCCTAACTCGAGTCGTTCTTTTCATGCATTAATATCCAAGGTGAAATGGAAGAGAGTTGCAGTTGTGGATCACATCACTTTTTGGACGTTATTCTAACCGATGAATAAGGGTCAGAAGATAAATTGAGCGTTTTGAAGTGCATCTGCCTTAATGACAAATTTCGGTCTTCCGGAATGGGGGAAAATGCCGCTGAGACTCTACAGTACCAAGTTGCGGATTTATTTTTTGGCTATGTTCGAATGATGCAAGTATATCGAATTTGATGCTGATTTATAGGGGTTCTGAATATATTAGAGGCAAAACATGTATGGTATATCTAATGCTTATGTGAAGTCTAGTGCGGTGGTTGAGGTGCGAGACCAGGGGGGGCATGCCAAGCCGTGCGACATCCTCAGGGCTAGAGGCATTCAGCATTGAGGCAACCTTTCAGTTAAGACTAAGGGGATGTCATCAAAGATACATGGCATCCTGTGTGATTTGCTGCACCCAGTAGGCTATCACGCCGACGTCATCGACGGACTGCAAATGTACATAGCTCATTACTGGTCCGGGATTGGTTCAGAAGGTCCCATAATCGCGTTTGTATGTTGAATCCTGGTTACGCCATTGAAGGATGAGGAACTACATGGTGATTCGTTCCTGTCGAATTACCTCGTTCCTCAAAAACAGCGATGCATCACTGTCAGCTCAGGATCTGATGGAAGACCTATCCGAATTGGGCGCCAGGATGGGAAGCGCGGCTGTACGGTAGTTATAACGGGTTGGAATAGGAAACAGCAGCACCCGCTAATGCAACGATCATTATTGTGCCAGCAGCCTCATGATATCGGTCGGGTGGAACAATCTTACACAATACGGCAAACCTTGGCACCGGTTTGGATCAGAACAAAACAGAGATGGCGCTCAACTTGATTCAACTTGATTCGACTGACTAAATTAGGTCTAGACGTGCCCAGGCACGGGCACACTATTTTCCAATCAACGATGGCTGCTCTCTCGGAAGGAGTATCTGAACCCCACGTCGCTGGAAATTTGAATGAAACTCGGAGTTATGGGCAACTCTATTTTCCCACACATCTGCTCTCAACAGCAAGGCATTTATCATCTGAACTTTTCCAATATATTTTTTAACAGCATCCCCTTCAATATATGTATGACACGACACTTTGAAAAGGAAACGCTGTTCTTCAAATCTGCAATTTAAGGCCTCGCAACGTGCAGCGTGGTTTGTTACAAGCCTCAAGAGAAAGCATTGGCACGGGGGCAAGTGCCCCTCAAGAACTGCCATTATGTGAACCCACCTGTCACGAACGGCTCCGCCGTGCCAACTGCTGAAAATGGCAGTGTGAAGATCTGTGGTGTCATCCTTTCAAAGGACCTCTTGGTTTAATCGATTCCACACGTTGTAGGCAGGATTAGGCAGGAGTAGGCCGGATAACGGATTTCAAAAACGGATCTAGACAGATGTGGCGATTTAATTAAAGAAATTTGGACCCATGAAATAGTGTGCCGCACGAAGTAGGACCAAACATTACATCAGCCAATCAATTCAATACCATATTACTCTAAGGCAAGGAACGGGAAACTTTTTGGACATGTGAGCCATTTTAAGATTAGGCTAAGTGCTCGTGAGCCAAAGACTTTCAAAACGACATAATTTTTCTTTAAGTTGGCAACAGACAGAAGAGCATTCTTTGATGCATGAGAAAATGAGGAAGAACAATGTTTTTTTGCCATGACTCATGAGCCATTTAGGCTCGTTAGGCAAATTGAGCCCACTAGCTATAGGTTCCCGACCCTAATCCTAAGGGTTTTCGTGGTTCGTGTGGCTGGAGCCTTTGCCTTGTCAGGTCATGGACTACACTCTTAGAAAAAGGGGAGCGATTTTTCTCAAAAAAGAGAGTAAAATAGCTAACTCCAGTTTCACCCCCCTTTCACTCTGGGAAAAGAGCGAATTTGCTCCATCACCAAGGAGTAAAATTTATCTCCTCCTCCGTGAGTAAAAACGCTCCCATCAGAAAGTGATAGAGATGTCATGCAAATACGAAAAATCTCATGTATATTAAATGTCGCTTTCGCTCTGACCGACCTCTGACAGTACTATTTCCAGCACTGGTCAGAGGGTAGATCACCTCTTATAAATTCCGTGGAGTATCCGGGATATCAGTCTAATATCTCAATTAATTGAGATATATGATTCACTGAAGCTCACGGACACTCTAGACACTCATTTATTCTAGATGTCCTATGCGGATAAAACTAACGCGTTCCAAAATGATTCTCAATAGGAATATGAGCTTGTTTATGGCCTGGACTCCATGAATATGTCTTGAATATTTGGATAACAAATGATGAAGTGTCCGTGTTTATTGATTCCTATAATGAGACT